AAAAAAAAAAAAAAATTGTTGGTACAGAAACAAAGATAGGCTGGCCCTGTTGTATGGTGCCTGCAGGGATGGAAACATTCTTACCTAGAGCTGTAAAAGTTTCATTTTCCAAAGCACAGTTGTTAATTAGTAAAGACTTCAATGCTGGTAAAAATCGGAGCCTACTGAGTAGGTTTTCAGAAGAACTGCCCATCTTTTTGTTGGCTGATAAATCCAGTTCTTGGAGATTCGAGAACAAAGGAATGACTTGGGCTGTTAAAATATGACACAGTAACATGTTATAGGCACCATTTCACAAAAAGTTTTCTTGGTCTTTAGTCTCCTTAATCTGACAATCAAAGCTCTCCATAGTATGACCTCTCCATACCATTATATGCCATATAAACCAGCCACTCTTCCATTATGCAAGTAACTGTGGTTTTCTACTTCCAAACCATTCTCTAGGCTAGAAGTTAAAAGCAAAAACTTTGGAGACAGATAGAATGGGTTCTGATCCTGGCTCTACTATTAAAGAGCTGTGTGATTTTGGCCAAACAAACTCTCTGAACATTGGGTTTTCTGGTGTATAAGTAACCTCACAGGGTCTTTTGGAAGATAAAATGACTTGGTATATGTAAAGTGCTGAGCTCAGCATCTGGCATATATTAACTCTTCCACTAATGTGTGATATTATAATCTTTTTCTTAGAATGTAAGTACGAGTAAAGCAATGACATCAACCAACCAGAATTGGTACCTGTTGGTAACAATAATGGAGAAGAGTTGTGAGGGCCCTTGCCATGCCAAGAGTTAGTCCTGGTTCATTGTCTTCCTGATACTTTTTCTGATTCTTTTGCCCTGACTCTTATCAATGTGGGAAATATAGTGTCCTCAGATCTCTGTGAGGCTGGCTCCTGATTCAAAACTCAGCTTGACAACAGTCTTCATGATGGAAGTCTGGAGGCAAACACCTCTCCAAATGGATTCCCCAGTGCTCCTAGATCCCCTAATTGAAGGTACAGACTTCAAATGAGAGAGATAGCTTGAATTGATATTGTCTCTACCTTTCAGAGTCTTCTTACATTTGTTTTATATATAACATCCAAGGTTTTCAGTTTAATTTAGTGAGAGAATTAGGGAGAAGTACATCTGTTCCATTTTAGTCTGGAACCTGAAGTCTATAGTCTATGTATTTCAAACTTTAACTTGCATAGGAATCACCTGGAGCTCTTAAATATGCAGATTCAGCTTCGGTAAGCCAGGGTGGGCACTGAGATCCTGCATTCCTTGCAAGCTCCCATGGGATGCCTATGCTGCTGGTTTATGGAGGATAATTTGAGTAGTAAGGAAGCTGGGCAAGGGGAATAGGAAATGATTTGAAGGAGGCTGGGAATTTACTATGTTAAATAGGATGATAAGGCAATGTTTGCACATGGACCTGAGGAAGTGGGAGAGTGAGCTGGGCCAAGAGCTGGAGGCTGAGTGTGCAGGAAGAGGGAGAGCAAGTGCAAAGGCCCCAAGACCAGAGCATACTGTGTGTGTCTAAAGACCAGGGAGGACAGTAGAGCTGAAGTGGAGCCAGAGAGAGAGTGGAAACAGGGAAACCAATTGGGCTCTTGCAGTCAGATTCTGGATGCATTTTGAAGGTTTATTGCAATCTCAGATGGAGTAAAACCCTTAATCTCAAGACTATGCTTGCTCTGTTTCTTATGGGAAATGCATTGATACATTATCTGTTATATTTACAGGCACCAGCCACTCCTCGGAAGGAAGGTTGGGCAATCCTACTTCCGTAGTGATACTGCCTCGGAAACCCAAGGAGGGGTCGCTATGAGTTGGGGCCGACTCGACGGCACATAACAACAACAACAACAACATATTTACAGGACTACGTTTATGGTAGAAAAGTAAATGTAGTCACCTAAAGTAGTGATAGGAGCTCTGGTCGTGTAGTGCCTAAGGCATTTGACTGCTAACCAGAAGGCTGATGGTTCAAACCTACTAGCCACTCTTAGGAAGGAAGGTTGGGCATTCTACCTCTGTAGTGATACCACCTTGGAAACCCAAGGAGGGGTTGCTACGAGACGGGTCCGACTTGATGGCACATAACAACAACAAAGTAGTGTTGTACAACCATTATGCACCACTCCACTACCTTTCTTTTTCTAACTTCATTTGTACCTAAGTGATTTGATTCCACTTGTTAACTAGAAAGCCTCAACACCCTTCATTTTAGCTTTTTCTCCGCAGACCTGTTAGAATTAATTTTGTGACTCTAACAGATTCATATCTAAAAGGTACTATAAATGCAATTTTTTTTTCGTTCAAGCATCACATCTATTATTTACAGATATATATAGGAGGAATTCAGATTCACTAACATTTACCAGGCACTTAATATGTACTAAATATTGTACTGGGGCATTCACAGAACTCTTATGGTTCAGTCCTCCCAATAGCCTCCTTAAAAATAAGTATATACCTCAGATTTACCAAGTTTTCAAACATCTGCCCATGTTCCACAAGTCTTTCCTTTGTTCTGCAGTAGATAACTTACTGAGTGACACCACGTCATCTGCTGTCAGTGAGCATTGGTGGAGATCAAGGTCTTGCAGATGCCTCAGTGTTGTCAACTGAGCTGGTGGGTCTTCAAAAGCTCCGCCCAGATCTTTGTTGCAGGAAAGATCTAATCTTCTTAGATTGCACAAGTATCTAAAAGCAGCATCTACAAAGAAAGTAAAAATTCCATTCTGACATATTACAAGATGGTAGGAAAGATAGTAGGGAGAAGACAGGTTTGTAGGAAGGGAGATTGTAGTAAGTACACTGTGTTGACAAAAAAACAAAGGAGGAATAACTTTGGCCTTCCTACCATCCAACCCTTCTATGAACCTGACAATGACCACAAAAGCATCTTCTTTTTATGATCTTCATTTATTGCCAAAAATTGTGACCTGAACCCTGCAACTAATTGTTCCCCTCCTACAATACTCGAGCACTAGGGTTTTCACAGAAATTTAGACTTATTCAAACTGTGAATGAGAAGACTATTATAGACTCTGTACATTGAAAGGAAAGACAGTTTTATTTCATATTCTCCATCAACGTGGATACTCTGTGTAGGGCTGTGGTAGTTACGGTTATGTGTCAACTTGGCTGGACCTGGTTTTGAATGACTGGGCAGCTGGATGTAGTTATTTCCCATGATGAAACTGGTAATCAACTCCATGGTGGAATCTATTGGAGCAGCTGAATAGCTGTCTCAGGGATGTGGTCTGCTTCCAACATATAATAAGAAGCATTGAGAAAGGTCTCTGCAGCTTTTTGGCACACTTAGGCCCTGCATATAGCCAAGTCTTTATTCAACAGCCTGCTATGTTCCTGCTGATCTTGGGACTGTCTCTGGACTTGAACTAGTGCCCTGCCATGTTGTCTGGTAATCTTGGGACTGTGGCATTTTATTTGTTGACCTTAGGTTTGTCAGCCTCAGTAACCAGCAGCTGCCTGAGTTAAGAGAAACCTCTAGCTTCAGGCGGCCAGGAGCAAGAGGCAGAGCTGAAGCCCAAGGTCAAGGGGCTTTCATGCAGCCCCTAGAGCTGGCACTTTGAACTCAGACTTCTAGCCTCCTAAACTGTAAAAGAATAAATCCCTGTTTGTTGAAGCCAACCATTTGTGTTATCTGCTGTTAGAGCAGTACTAAAGAACCAATTATAAGGGGCATAAGTTTTGTTTAATTTTTTTTATGTATAGTAAATACATATGTGACAAATATTTGCCATTTCAACATTCTTCACAAGTACAATTCAGTGACATTAATTGTGTTCATCATGCAACCATCACCATTATCCATCTCTACATTTCCCCATCACCTTTAACTGAAGCTCAATGTCCCCTAAGCAATGAGTCCCCTGGGAACAACTTTTAACTATAGATGCCACTAAAGTCATTCTTTTTATCAGTATCAATTCCTTCCACTATAAAGCATAAAATGCTGGAATTTTGCAATTTTAGTAGTAATTTTGGTACTAGAAGAAACTATTATTTTGTCCCACTTTCTATCTCAAACCTAAAATATCCTGGCCTTTCTAAGATGCAACTATTGGTTTCCCCTGGTACAGAGCAAAGACGAGTGAAGAAAATCAAAGACACATGGAAACAGTTAGTCCAAAGGATTAATGGACTATGAGAACCTCAGCTTATACGACCCTGAGACCAGAAGAACTAGAAGGTGGCTGGCTACCAATGCCAGCCACTTGTTGTTGTTGTTGTTATGTGCCGTTGAGTCGGACGCGACTTATAGCAACCCCTCCTTGGGTTGCCAAGGCAGTATCACTACCAACCACTCATAAGGGGATCAAAATTTGAGATCCTGGATACAGTGGGAGAAAACGTGGAACAAAACTCAAAATCTTAAAAAAGACCAGCCTTACTGGTCTGATAGAGATGGGTGAAACCACTGAGACTATGGCCCCTGGGAGTCACCTTTTTGGCCTGGAATTGGACTCCGTGGCTTAACACTCAGCGAAACAATAGATAGGCCTACAAGCTGAACACCTACACCAGGGAGGTGCGCTTCTTAGAAAAATCAACCATGGGAGATCAGAAGGGCAGCATTTGCACAGGGAGAAAGGCAGGAAGATAGGAAAGCATAGGCAAGAAGGACGCAGGGAAAGGGTAACCACAGGGAGGAAGTGGGAGGAGAGCTGTTACACAGCAAGGAAAGTGACCAGTGTCACAAAACAAAATGTGTATGAACTGTTGAATGTAGAACAAATCTCCTTTGTAAAATTTCACCCGAATCACAATAAAAAGTTAAAAAATAAAATAAAATATCCTGGCTCTTTCAGAGTCAGCCAGTTAAAAATTATTTTTGTAATTATGAAAGTTTATGTTCACTGTAAAAGAGTTATAAAATAAATAAAACATAAGGAAGATTTAAATTATCTTTAAATATATCTTTAATATACTCTTATTCCTCACCATAACCACTTGCAGCGAATTGCTTGATGTGGCCCTTCTAGCCATTGTCCTCCATTCTGTGATGTTTTGTAAATCCCATTATCCATGCCTATTTGGGGTGGTGTGGTAGTTAAGGTCAGGTATCAAGTTGGCTGGGCAGCTGGTAGTAGTCATTCCCTATAATGACTGGCAATCGACTTTGTGATGGGATTTAGGTTAATTCTGTTGGGGCAACACAGGTGGAATGTATCTTGAGTCCTGCCTTGTTGGAGGGTATAATTCAAATCACCACCCTTAGCTTCCCTGAGGGTATACCTACCAATCTCCTGGGAAGATTCGCTCTCCTCTTGCCCTGGCTTTGTGTCTTGGATCATCCTCACCTCACCCCTGGATTTGGGACAGCAGCTGTCATCTGATCTGCTGATCAAGGTTCATCAAACCCCGAGAGTTGGGAGAATTCACCAGCCTGCCAGCCTCCACCACTACTACGTGAGACGAACCCTTGGGTGTCTGTGAGTTCTGTGAGGCGTTACAGCGAAATACAGAACCCTAAGACTGGGGAAATTACTGGGAGGAGGAGGAGGAGGAGTTAATGTCTGAAATGATAGAGTGGCATGGTAGTTTGGACGTTTGGGACATCTTTAACCTCCGCCTCATGGGGACTGGCCTCGTGCTGATCTTTCTAAGAGAAATTGTTCAAGCACCACTGTTCATATTTTGTTGTATTTCCTAATAGTTTAAAAAACACATAGCAAGTTCAGTCATTATAACTCACCCAATATTTTGATACTGTCTTGTGATAATCCACATGAATGTAATTTCAATACTTTCAGATTTGAAGTATGTTTTAATCCCTGAGAAATACTGTTTAGACTGCCACTGATGTTTCTATTAATGGAAAGATCAAGTACTTCAAGATTTTGCAGCATAGGTAGCAATTGACCTGAAGAAAAGAAAAAGCAAACATAAAGAAAAACACTAAAAAAATGAAGAGTGTGAGAGTTGGGGCAGGAAGGAGTGGAGAGTGCAGCATAGTATGACCTGGGGTTATAGTAAAGTTGTTGGGTGGTATAGATGGTTTGCCTCAGCTACTAACCTAATGGTTGGTGGTTCTAGCCCACCCCGTGGTACCATGGAAGAAAGACCTGATGATCTGCTTCAATAAAGATTACAGCCAAGAAAACCCTATGGAGCAGTTCTACTCTGTAACATGTGGGGTCACCATGGGTTAGAATCAATTTGAAGGCAATGGATTTGAATTTTTTTAATTGTTTATTTGTTTGGGGCAGGGCTTCGAACCGGTTCATTCTTTTAATAAGATCTCCAGGTGATTCTAATATAGAATCTTATATTCTAATGTAGAATCTTAGACTCTGATTCCCTATTTAGAAATGCAAATTCTCAGCAGGAGATTGAACCAGTTCATTTCAGTTCAAATCAGCCCTGGTTTGAGGATATAGTGAGTCACCCTTTAAATTCAGAGTAAGAGAAAACACAGCAAACTTGAGTGCATAAGCTATCCATTTATGGAATTTTCACATTTTTGGGGAAGCAAAGGGAGAGAACCCTTCCAAATCTGCTTACCCATAAATGCCCCATCTTCTGACGTGAGGGCACAATCCACAAGTTCAAGGGTTTGTATCTTGCTCCCTTCTTGGAACTTCTGGAGGATCAGAGGCAAGTTTCCTCCCACTTTTCTGTTCCAGGACAACTTTAGCTCTTCAAGTTCTGGTATCACTTTAAGTGCTTCTCCTGTTACAAAATGGGGAGAGATCACGTTGGTGATAGTCCGCTAAGTAGGGAATTAGTTTCAAAATCAGTACCACAGTTATTTATGGAGTATTGCAGCTGGGCCAGGTACTGTGTTAGTTGCTGAGAAACTCAGAGAAGAAAAGAACCCAGTCCTGGGGAGATCAGCCTGGATTATCCAGGTGGGCCTAATCTAATCACAAGGGTCTTTATAAGAGGGAGGCAGGAGAGATGTGATGGCTGAAGCAAATATCAGAGAGGAAGATTTGAAGCTGCTGTACTGTGGGCTTTGAAGAGAAAGAGACTAAGAGCCAAGGAATGTGTTGTTGTTGTTATATGCCATGGAGTCAGACCCGACTTATAGCGACCCCTCCTTGGGTTTCTGAGGCAGTATCACTATGGAAGTAGATTGCTCAACCTTCCTTCCAAGGAGTGGCCAGTGGGTTTGAACTGCCAGCCTTCTGGTTAGCAGTCAAGTGCCTTAGGCACTACACTACCAGAGCTCCTCCAGGAAATGTGAGCAACCTCTAAAAGCTAGAATAGGCAAGGAAAGAAATTCTCCTCTAGAGCTTCTAGAAGAATGCAACCCTGTCAACCCTTGACTTTAAGACTTGTGACCTCCAGAATGGGAGCTCTGGTGGCATAATGCCTAAGGCATTTTTGACTGCTAACCAGAAGGCTGGCAGTTTGTTTGTGACCTCCAGAACTGTAAAGTAATAAGTTTGTGCTGTTTTAAGCCACTATATGGTAATTTGTCACAGCAACCATAGGAAAATAATGCATTTGGCCAGAAGTAGAAGCAAGGCAAAGCAAGTAACTGGCCGCCACAGGGGTAAAGCTCACTTGGACATAAAATGTATCACACACAACTGAAGTGACCACTATAGGAAGAAAAAAAAAACTCACTGCCCTCCAGTTGATTCAGCTCATAGTGACCCCTCCTTGGGTTTCTGAGGCTGTATCACTACGGAGGTAGATTACCCAACCCTCCTTCCGAGAATGGACCTACACCCGTGACTGTAGATCTGGCAGACAATATTTCTACGTATGTATTTGTATGTGCTGTAAAAATACCCATGTATATAGGAGTAGAGCTAATGAGACAAAGTTCTTACCTATAACCAATAAAAGAAATACACAACAATTTTTTGAAGGCAAAATTACCCCTTCTCAGAGACAGACTCAGAAAAGATAAAGACTCAGACTCAGAACACAGACTCAGAAAAGATCAAGAATTTGTCCATGGATACTTCACCAAAGAGGATATTCAGGCGGCCAACAAACACACAAAGAAATGTTCACAATTCTTAGCCATTAAACTCACTGACGTCTAGTTGGATCCGACTCATAGCGACCCCTCCTTGGGTTTCTGAGGTAGTATCACTACAGAAGAAGATTGCCCAACTTTCCTTCTGAGGAATGGCTGGTGGGTTTGAACCACCAGCCTTCTGAGTAGCAGTCAAATGCCTTAGGCACTACACCACCATGAGCCATTAGAGAGATGCAAATCAAAACAACGAGATACCATCTTGCCCTAGAACTAATAGCAAAGTTCAACAATACAGAAAATAACAAATGTTGGCAAGGATGTGGAAAGATTCTGGGACTCTCATACACTGCAGGTGGGACTGTCAAATGATATAACCACTGTGGAAAGCAGTATGGCAATCCCTTAAAAAGTTGGAAATAGACCATTTGACCCAGCAATCCCATTACTACATATATATCCTAAAGAAGTGAGAGCCAGGACAAGAACAGATATATGCACACCCATGGACATGTTCAGTATAGAAATGATTGTAATTGAGATTCTAGTCAACCTGTTACTTTTAATTGAAAATTTTTGTTTTGATCATTTTTTTTTAAATGAAGGTAGAAAAATAGAGAAATATTATTTGGCAGTTGGAAAACAACTTAATTATTATGTCCTCCAACTTCTATTTCCTAGAAGAGGTAATTGAGACCCAGGGCAGCAAATTTTACAATGACCTCCATTTTAAACTCCAGGAGAGCAAGTACCCAGTCAGCTGCCTTCTCTATCCACAGAGTTTAGCACAACATCAGGCACAGAGTTACGTAGCTATTCAGAAGTAATACAAGCAATTCACACAGTTTTTAATCCATTGTGTCAAGGCGATCCTGACTCATAGCGACCCTGTAGGATAGATTAGAACTGCCTCATAGGGTTTGCAAGGCTGTAAATCTTTACGGAAGCAGACTGCCACATCTTTCTCCCACAGAGCAGCTAGTGGGTTTGAAGTGTTGCCCTTTTGAGTGTTTAGCCACTGCACCACTAGAACATTTTAGTTCACACAGTACTACATCATGTATCGAGATCTTGTTCATGATCACCCAGGGGTAGTGACATAAATAGCTTGCCTTTGAGAGTGTATGTTGCAAAGGTACTTGGAGGTACAAAGATGTCTTTTAAAGGCAGTATCCATCATACCTAGGGCTTTAACATCATCACGGGTAAGTCTGCAGCTACCCAGCCTCAGGATTTTTAACTTGCTGACAAGATGAATTTTCTGGGTGATTAAGTGGAGGGTTCCACCTACAAAGTCATTCCAGGAAATATCCAGTTCTTCCAAGTCTGGGAGAAAAGGAAGTAAGGCAACTAGAAGTGAACAGAAAAGAATACAGATTTGTACATGTAATTTATTACAAGTAGCAAATAGGAATCAATGCTTATATGCACATAATAGTTTTCAACTGTAAGAGCAAGGAGAGTATGTTGTCTTTTAGCAAAGCTGGAACCTCTCAGCCATGCCATTGGTGAAACTGTGACATTTACATTTTCTATTTCTTGGGATATTTTATATTTCTGCCAAATAACTTACACTCTGAAAATGCAGTGGTGTGGCTATAAGATTCCATTGTAATTGTATTTATTGTAATTGAATGTAACCCACCATTGAGTCCATTCCAACTCATAATGACCCTTTAGGACAGAATAGAACTGCCCCAATGGGTTTCCAAGGCTGTAAATCTTTACAGAAGCAGACTGCCTCATCTTTCTGCCACAGAGTGGCTGGTGGATTCAAACCACTGACCTTATAGTTAACAGCAGAGTGCTTTAAAACTTTGCCACCAGGGCTCCTTGTGAACCCAATAATAATAATGGTATTCTCAGTGTGGGGTTACCCAGTAAGTAAGGTAAGCATGGATTGACTACTTGTGTTTACTTACTTATCAGTAGTGAACAATTTCACATTTTTTCACCATATCAAAGATTCTCCTTCTAGTTGTGACAAGCATTTGTCTCTATCCCAACCCCACAGTACCTTCCTACAGAATCACAGCTTCTTTTCAAATTTACAATCCCTGACAGGGATGGAATATACAGTGACCAATTTCTTTGGTCACTACAGATTAGTAAGTGAACACAAGTAAACCCGTGCTTACCTTGCTTATTGGATAATCCAACTGTTTCTACTGCTACTACTGTTACAACTGCCACTACCACTGTGACAGTAATGTGTATACTAACTAGTCCCTTTATTTTGCAAAATCCTCCCCACATTTTCTGTCTGTCATCTTTAAGAGGTGCTCAGGCTGCAGGGCCTAAGAAACACTGCTGGTCGGGGGTGCTGATATCGAGGGGGCCTGTTACTTTCTCTCTCTTTTTAATCTTGATTACCTGGGCATCCCCACCTTAAAAAGTTTCATTATATTTAAATGAAGCAACTCAACCTGTGCATGTTTCAGTCTGTACCAAGGTTCATTGGAACTTTCTCTGTGTCTCAGCTGCTACTCATTATAAGTGAAATTACTATCTTTGGAAAAGATTAAGAGGACATCTTTATCTCCTGAAGAAACAGTCTTGAGAGTGGGAATGTCAAGGGAGAGGGCATCAAGCGCCTTTGCTAGCCTGTTTGCTTTGGTTTGGGATGTGAAAATGACGACAGCAGTCACAAGCGGCATGGTGAGCTTCTGTAGTTACAGGCACAATTCCAGACCTTCTGTGGTGCAGTGAATTACTTGGTATGGTTTTTCTAGCCATAGTCTTTCTAACTCCCACTGGTTATTGGGGACCATGCAAATAAGGTGTGTAGAACTATGAAGTTGGAATTGGTTAGTTTTGTCACTCTACCCAGCTTAAAATGAGCCTTCCTAGAAGCAGAGGGGGGATCTCACTGTCATCAAGATAGAAGAGCTGGAGTTGAAGTGGAGTGCATGCTTGTACCTGAGATCCCTGCCCTGGACCTTCTTGACAGAGATACCTGACAGGGAGATGCCCCAGCAGAGAGATACACCTGGCAGAGAGATGGTTGCAGTGGAACCAAGAAGCATTAGACAAAGGGGAAGGCTTACCTGGTCCACAGAATGAGAAAGCTGAGTGCTTTTGGGCAGTAGGCTTGCTGATGGAGTGAAGTGTACCTAGGTGTACCTATCAGCAGAGGTAAGAGTTTTGTAACACTTCCCCAAGCAGGGCAGAGGCCAGGCTGAGAGACCGTGGGCTGAGAGGGCATGACAGAGGGGAGAAATGTATCCTGAGTGTGTTCCTCAACCTGAATTGTAGCCTGTTACTTCCCTAATAAACCCCATAATTGTGAATATTGCCTGTGAGTTCTGTGTGGCCATGGCAATGAATTATCTGACCCACTAGAGAAGAAGTGAGTGCTGTCAGAGGGATGGTTGGTGTCAGAATTGGTAAAAAGGCTGGAGGGTGGTAGCATGCCTGGCCTCACAGGAGTAAGCCTGGGGCTGTTGATGTTGATTCTGTCTTCCTCTTGTGAAGTTAGAGGAGGTCAAAGAGGCTGCCTCCTGTTCTTTTTGCACCTTCCAAAGTTATGAAGCCATACTTACAAGCAAAAACTTGTTTTCTTTTTATGAACATTCTAAGCACTTCAGAAGTTTCATCTTGTTCACCATGATCCTAGTTTTATGAGGTATAAAAGTCTATTGAATACATTAACCACTCGCTGTCTAGTCAGCTCCTAATGGTGACCCCATATTTGCCACAGCAGAACCGTGATCCGTGGGGTTGTCAATAGCTGACTTTTTTGGAATTAGATCACCACACCTTTCTTCCTTGGCTTCTCTGGATAAACTCAAACCTCCGACCTTTTGTTAACTGTTTGCACCATTCAAGGACTCCACTGAATGCATTAGGAAGGCCGAAAACAAACAAACAAAAAATTTTTTAAAAAAACACTAAACTGATATAGTGGCTGAACTGTCCTATACCTTTGACTCCCCATATTTTTCAGTTCATAAAGGAAATCAAGCCTCCTATTGTAATCCCACTAAGAAAATGCAATAGCCATACATAAAATATAGTTCAGTGGTCAAACTTCAGCTTGCATCAGAATACCCTGAGGGGCTTGTTAAAATACAGATTCCTGGGGCCCATTGTGACAGAATCTGATTTAATGGTTTGGAGTGGACTCAAGGTTGTGGAGTGGTCATTCCACAAGCTCCTCAAGTAGTTGGGACACACATGCATTTGAGAACCTAGAGTTCCCTCTGAAGGGACCAGTCTGCAAATACAATGGCATGAATTTTCATGAAGCATTAAGGATCCTTCACTCAAAACATAGTTGGTTTGATATCTCTCTGTTGGCAGACACATCTCAGTTTATTACAGGCTCAATTTAAGGTCACAAGGGAAAAGAACAAGGTGGTGGTGGTGGTGGTGGTGTGGAGAGAAATCTTCACCACCAAACTCCTATTCATATGAAGCAAATAATAGTCACACTTCTGTCTAAAAAAGGTGTAGACAGTAATTGCTGGATGTTATCTTTTCATTCCACAGATACACAACCTGAGACTCTTTGAAATTCTCCTCAGGGTTCAGTTTTATGGATGAGATCCATGAGTTTATTTCATATGCAAGAACGGATAGATGTTTTTCAGCAAGCAAGACGCAATTAGAAGATGAGTAAAATGGTTCAGGAAAAACAAACAAATGAACCTTCCTTCTAAATTCATCTCAAATTTTTGAAGCTTGAGGATGAATGAATTAACTTGTTAAGACAAAAACCAAAACAGTGGTGCAGCTGCTATTCCTGTGAGTATCTGGGGCCATTTATCAGACCTTGGAGTTACCAGCTGGGTAATGGAATGAATGTGTTTTGCTTGCTCATCTCCGGCCACCACCACTAGCTGCCACCAGATCAACTATGACCCACAGTGACCCCGTAGGGGTCAGAGCAGTCTGTGCACTACAAGATTGTCTATGGTTGATTTTTTGGAAGTAGATTGCCAGGCCTTTCTTCCAAGTTACCTAGGTATGAACTCAAACCTCCAGCTTTTTGGTTAGCAGCCAGATGCATTAAACAAACTCCTATTTAGATGAAACAAATGATAGCCATATTTTTGTATAAAAAGGGTATACAAAATCCACACAGGGATTCCCTTCCCCACCTAAAGGGCCTATATTACTTTGGTGCAAGGTCAATTGCATACAGACCCAGTTCTCTCATGTCTGATGTTGTTAATCCACAGTTATTCAGGATCAGATACTTGTCGACAGCCTTTTTGCTCAGCTTCTGCAGGAACTGTTCATTTTTCTCTGCCCTGGATCCCTCTTCTGTTTCTGAGCTAAGAGGCTGAGATTTGGCTATATCATAAGGATAAGGAAGAATTTGCTGTTAATGACAGTTCATATTAAAGACAGATAATATCCACAATATGACAAGTGAAAGGCCTGAGAACCATCCTGAGTGGGTCTCCTGTGAAACCTCAACTCAGAATGGGAAGTATTTACCAGGGACAGAACTTAACCACAGTTTTTGCCTCTTTTGTGGTGATACTTTTCTTACAAAGGAGCCTAAAGAACTGGAACTAAGTAGCTTTTCTTTCATGGCCTGATCTGGGCTTCTCCACATAAAGATGGGTGAGAGGGAACTCTGCAGCATTTAAGACTCTAGCTGCTTTACATCTATGCAGATATATTTGAGGAACATAATATCAAATTGTCGTGTGTGGGGAGAGTACAGGTATTTGCCCCCTAAAGCCAAATAGGTGCAGTAGAGGAAGGTTTGAAATCACAGTGGATGAGCTCTCAGGTGGCTACTGAGTGAAGCACTTACCGCACAGTTCTTAGACCATTCAATCAGCAAGCACAAATCCAGAGGATTGTGCCTGGGGGGAGATTTTGTATTCTTCAAACTCCTGCAGGAGAGTACATTCAGAAAGCCTCATTTGTCCTTGTTATTAGGGACTTCTTATGTGGCACCTTCACCAAGTGCCTCTGTTATTACACTTGTTGTTGTTGTTGTTGTTTGCCGTCAAGTCAGCCCCGACTCATAGCGACCCCTCCTTGGGTTTCCGAGGCAGTATCACTATGGAAGTAGGATTACCCAACCTTCCTTCCGAGTTGTGGCTGGTGGGTTTGAACTGCCAGCCTTCTGGTGAGCAGTCAAGTGCCTTAGGCACTATGCTACCAGAGTTCCTATTACACTATATTAACATAATAGCATTATTGCAACAAAAAAATACATATATATATATATATATATATAAAGAGAGAGAGCGTGCATCTACTATGTACCAGTGCTTTACCTACTCTGTGTACCAGCATTTAAGACACATACACATACTTTTGCAAAGAAAAAATTTTTGAAAAATGAAATATTAAAGTACATTTCATATGCACGTACTAACAATGATGTTAAAGTGTTTTTAGAGGAAAATGTACAATTTTAAAGATGTAGAAAGAAAATTCTGGAATCCGGTAGGAGCTTTGGTGACGTAGTGCCTAAGGAACTTGACTGCTAACCAGAAGGTTGGCGGTTCAAACCCACCAGTCATTCCTCGGAAGGATGGTTGGGCAATCCACTTCCAAAGTGATATCTCCTCGGAAACCTAAGGTCGCCATGAGTCGGGTCCGACACAACGGCAGGAAATCAGAATATGCAACAATATTCTACTAACCATAACAAAAAAGGCAAAAAACATTGCTAAAAAAGAAATATATTGGTACTAGTAAAAATGAAAGATAATAGAATTGCAGTAGTAATAAACAAACCAAAACATTGGCAGGATAATAAAAACTCCAATTCTCATCCACAGTGTGGCTTGCGGCTTTGCGGCTTGGTACTCGACCTGTTAAGTAATGACCTGTAGAGCTCACATCTCTGCTGGGCTGTTTCATGTTGCCATATTCCACCAGTAGGAGGCAGCAAAATCCATTATTTTGTCTCTTCACAATGGCCTATTTTTATGATGACACATTGGATACAGGTATTTTGTTTTTGATACGGTTGCCAAATTTAGCCAAAACACAGGGCATTAAATTTAAATTTAAATTTCAGATAAACAGCAAATAATGTTTTAGTAAAAGTATGTCCTAACATTATGCTGAGTGAAATAAGTCAATCACAGAAGGACAAATATTGTTTTAGTTCATTATTATAAAAAGTCAAGGAAAGGTTTGTATATGGAAGGAAACTTTTGTGTTGGTTACCAGGGGTGGGAGGGGAGGGGAGAAAACAGTGCAAAAATAAATAAATAAATAAATATTTTAAAATAAATAAACAACATCAAAGTATGTCCCAAATATTGCATGTATTTTACCTGGCAACTCTGTTTTCGAGTGGGGCAGAAGGCAGTTGTGGGTGGGAGAGAGGGAGGGACTGCCTCTCACCAGTCAGTGAATATAGGACATTTTGTCTAAACTTAATGCAAGGAGTCACAATTACCTCTATTTCGTAAATTTGGAAACTGAGACTCAGAAAGACCATCAATTAGTAAGAAGTAGAGTCAGAATTTGACCTCAGAACAGTCTGGATCTAAAGTCCATTATGTGTATAAGTTTTTAAATTTTTTTTTTTTACATTGCTTATTGCTGTCTCTTTTATTTTTAACTTTTTATCTCCATATCTTTTTCTCTCCAATCATCAAGTTCTAGCCCCACCAGATCTTTTATTTTGCCTGATTTTTCCTCATATTACTGATCTGTCACCCATTTCCTTTACTGCCAAATATTTTGAAAGAGTAGTTTATAGTTGCTGGCCCCAATTCCTCACCACATTACAAATTACTGCTCTCCATTCCTGTCACCACACTCACAACCCAAACAAATTGTTTTCTTACGGGTCATCAGTGATGAACTACCAATGGACAGATTCAGAAATTTCTTTTTGGTTCACATCTTTCTCAGGTGCGCTGTAATGTCTGACACCACTGACTGGTCTGAGGCAGCACAGTCTGAAGACCTGGCTCAAGTTGTGGGTCTACCAGGCACGCAAATCACGTAACTTCAGTGAGCCTTGGTTTACTCTTCTATGAAGTGGAGACTGTAATTCCTTCTCAGTTCATTTCTCAGAAATGTTGTGAATAAAGTTTTGCTCACAGGTAAATCTACAGTAAGGGCCCTGCATAGCACAAATGATTTGTGCTCGACTGTTAATCTAAAGGTTGGTAGTTCAAGCCCACCCAGTGGTACTGTGCAAAAAAAGTTCTATCTGTTTCCATTAAGATTACAGCGAAGAAAACCCTCTGGAACAGTTCTGCCATGTAACACACGGGGTCGCCATGAGTCAGAATTGACTCAATAGCAACTAGCAACAATAATAACAAATCTACAGTGCCTTCTATGTGGGAGATGAATGGTAAATATTTGTTGAATGAATAAATATTGAACAAATGATTGAATTAATAGATAGATAAATACTGGCTTTAGAGTTCCTCAATTGCCAAAATAAATCAACATGGTAAATCTTTATTTAAACATCTACATATAAATATGAATACTAACTTGTGAGACCCTTGACATCTCCTCATAGACCTGTGCATTTCAATTTATTATTATTATTATTATATGAAACCCTTTCTTCAAAAGGTATCTTTCTTCATAGCTTAATACAGCGAACAAATGGGTCAGAGCTGCTATAGGCTGGCTGGGGTAGAAGGGGTGGCACTCAGTGGAGGAGGCAGTAGTGTGAGCTTACAGGAGCAGAGCTGTGGAGTAATTCAAGGCCTTTTTCTGGCCACTTTGCCACTGAACCAAGCTCTTTGCCCTTGAGATGATTCTGTGAGCTGTGTAATATCGTCTCTCATTACATTCCTTTCCAACTTAAATCAGTCAAGTTTCATTTCTGTTGCTTACAACCAAGAATCCTAATACTTCTGTAAGATATTGTTAAATGTTTGTGACATTAGTGGTGCTGAACAGGAAATCAAGATAAGGAGATAACAGGTTTCTGTTTCCAATGAGTTATCTTTCTAATAAGGAGATAAACAAGAAAGCCATGGTTGCAATACTGTGTCCCTACAATGGTGGAGGGACACAGAGGGTTGTTGTTAAGTGTTGTCAAGTTCATTTCAACTCGTAGCGCTCCTGTGTACAACAGAACTGGAACAAAACACTTCCTTGTCCTCCGTTCTTGCCATTGTTGCTATGCTTGGGCCTATTTTTTGCGGTCACTGTGTTAATCCATCTCGTTGGGGCTCTTCCTCTTTCTTGCTGACCCTCTACTTTACAAGTATGATGTTTTCTCCAGGGACTGATCACACCTGATAACATGTCCAAAGTGTGTGAGACAAAGTCTCACTATCCTTGCTTCTAAGGAGCATTGTGGTTGTACTTATTCCAAGACAGATTTGCTCATTCTTTTCACAGTCCATGGTAAATTCATAATTCTTTGCCAACACTGTAATTCAAATGCATCAATTCTTCTTTGGTCTTCCTTATTCATTGTCCAGTTTTCACATACATATGGGGTGACTGAAAATACCACTGCTTGGGTCAGGTGCACCTTAGTCCTCAAAGTGACATCTTTGCCTTTTAACACTTTAAAGAGGGCTTTTGCAGTAGATTTGCCCAATGCAATAGGTCATTTGATTCTTAACTACTGTATCTATGGACATTGATTATGGATCCAAGTAAAATGAAATCCTTGACAACCTCAATCTTTTCTCTGTGATGTTGCTTATTGGCTGAGTTGTAAGGGTTTGAAGAGGACTTGAAGGACTTACTGATGAACATCAAAGACTATAGCCTTCAGTATGGATTATACCTCAACATAAAGAAGACAAAATTCCTCACAACTGGACCAATAAGCAACAGAGGTGGTAAGTCAGGTATATCGGATTGGTCTTGGGGAGCTTCCAAGAGATAACGGTGCTTTAGTTGTACCTTAAAGGATAGTAGATGTACAGGTCAGGGGAGATAAACAAGATAAGGATACAGAGGGAGATGGTCGGCACAATAGAAGGTCTTTCCCATAATAGGAAACCACTTGGGGGAACACACCACTTCAGGAACCAACTCAAAACCAAACTCACTGCCGTCAAGTCAATTCCAACTCATAGGGACCCTCCTTGGGTTTCTGAGGCAGTATCACTATGGAAATAGATGCCCAATCTTCCTTCCAAGGGGTGGCTGGTGGGTTTGAAGCGCCAGCCTTCTGGTTAGCCATCAAATGCCTTAGGCACTACGCCACCAGAGCTCCCACTTCAGGTATTCCAAGTAAATGACAATACCAGGAGTGCAGGATGAATGTGGGGTGTGGTGGGAGGTCAGGGGAAAGCAGAGGCTATGATGTTGTTGTTGTTGTTGTTATGTGCCGTCGAGTTGGCCCCGACTCATAGCGACCCTTCCTTGGGTTTCCGAAGCAGTATCGGAGCTCTGGTAGCATAGTGCCTAAGGCACTTGACTGCTAACCAGAAGGCTGGCGGTTCAAACCCACCAGCCACTCCTCGGAAGGAAGGTTGGGCAATCCTACTTCCGTAGTGATACTGCCTCGGAAACCCAAGGAGGGGTCGCTATGAGTCGGGGCCGACTCGACGGCAAACAACAACAACAACAACAACATCACTACAGAAGTAGGATTGCCCAACCTTCCTTCCGAGGCTATGAAGATGTATCCAAATGATCATCAACACCTTGAAGGCCACCCTTGGGAGTGTGAACATTCTCTTCAAGGCAAGGGAGACTTGGTGAAGAGTTTTATTCAGATGAGAGGCAAATTTATATTTGTGGCTTAGAAAGGATGTAGTGGGAGTGTGTGGGACAGATTGGCAAGAGAGCAAGACTAAAAGCAGGGAAACCAGTTAGACAGCTAGTGTAGTGAACAATGCAAGAGACAGTGAAGACAAACAGCAGTTTGAGCCAGGTTTGAGAGCCATTTAGGGGCAGAATCAACATGACTCAAGAAACTATTGGGTTTGGGAAGAGATGGAAGTGGAGAAGCCAAGTGCAGCTGGGGTGGCCAGTGTTGCCCAGCAAGGAAGATGAGCTGCTCTGTTTTGCACAGTTAATTGAATCACAGTTAGAGACATTCATAAACTACCTTCCTGAAGCTCCAAATCACACTTCAGGACAATATGAACAATTTCCTGATGGAGATTGCCTTCTTTCAAAGGAAAATCTTAATTTCCTAGTTACAAAAATATATTTTAAATACATTTAATCTACTTACAGGTAAAATGCTTGGTGTTTTATGCCAAATAATCTAGTAAAAATGAGGGTAGGTATAAATGAAACAAGATTGTCCAGAGGTTAACTACTGTTAAAGGTACGTGATCATGAGAGCTCCTTATACTATTTATTTTACTTTCTTTTCTTCTTGGTGAAAATATACATAACAAAACATATACCTATTCTCACTTCACTTTTGTATATATTTGCATGGAAAGTTTTAAACATAATTAAAATGCATTTAATCTAATAGATAATAAATTGGTAGCATTGTATATGATACATAACTTTCAGAGAGAAATTTGGCAGTATTTATTTAGAAAATAAAAGGTTTTATAACCTTTGAATTTGAATCCCTGCTCTGGAAATTTTTACTAAGGAAATATGAAATACAGTAAAGCAGGGACAAGAGAGAGAGAAATACAAAGACATCACTAAAAGAAAAAGAAAGAAGTTGTTATGGCATATGCATGTGTTAGAATATTACACAGTTACTAAAATTATGTGTGTGAACATGTAGGATCTCTGGTGGCGTAGTGCCTAAAGCTCTTAACTGCTAACCAGAAGGTTGGCAGTTCAAACCCACCAGCCACTCCTCAGAAGGAAGATTGGGGAATCTACTTCTGTAGAGGTACTGTCTCGGAAATCAAAGAGGGGTCACTATGAATCGACTTGACTGGATAGCAGTGATTTTTGTTGTTGTTTGTTTTATGAACATGTAGCAGTGTGGGAATTGAGGAATATAAGAATTTATTACAGAAGTCAAATCCCAGCCTTGTGTTAAGGACAGTGTGGATTTGTAAGCCATTTGCTGTTTTTAGCTGTCATCCAGTTGGCCCCTGACTCATGGCAGCCTCATGCACAATGGAATTAAATACTGCCCAACCCTGCACCATCCCCACAATCCCTTAGGGATTGCACCATTGTGATTCACAGGGCTTCCTCTGGCTGATTTTCAGAAGTAGGTCACCAAGCCTTTCTTCCCAGTCCATCTTAGTCTGGGAGCTGCGCTGAGACCTCTCCAACATTATAACACATGAGCCTCCAAGGACAGGCAGGTGGTGGGTGTGCATGAGATGCAATGGCTGGGAATCAGACTCATGTCTCCTGCATGGAAGGCAAGCATTTTATGACTGAACCTCCAATGCCCTTGATTGTAAGCTATGACACTGTGTAAAATTTGCAGAATCTGGTCTCCAGCTACCTCTCTGACTTGTCTCCTATGACTCTCTTCCTCTCCCTATTGCTCATCAACTTCAGCATCCCTGACCACTGGCTCTTTCTCAAAACAGACTCAGTCCCACCTGGGGCCTTTGTCCTTATAGTTATTTTTGCCTGAAAAGCTGTTCTCATAAATACACTGTTAAATTAATTCATTTATTCTACATGACTGACTTTAGTCAGATACCTGCTCAAATGCCACCAACTCAGAGACATCTGCCCTCAAACCCCACCTAAAAGAGCACATCTACTCTCTCACTGTCCTTATCTTCCTTTATATTTTTGTCCTAGTACTTGTCCCCTCCTGAAATTATATGCACATTTGGTTGGTTGTTTTTATAAAGTCCTTTTGTTCATGGCTGTATTTCTAACACTGAGAAGGATGTCTGGCACATAGTAGGTACTCAGTAAGAGTTTGTTGACTGCAAAGAAGAACGAAGAAAACCAAAGATTCATGGAAAGAATAAGTCCTAGTGACTAGTACACCATACAATTTGCAGCCTATACTACTATGAGACCAGAAGAACTAGATGGTGCCCAGCTATCACTGTCAACCACTCGGAGGGGGATCTATGTAGGAGATCCTGGACAGAGAGGGAGAACAATATGGTATAAAACCCAAAAGCATTTGGGAAAAAAAAAAAAAAAGGTGGACCACGTTTGCTGGTCTGATAGAGCCTGGTGTAACCACTGAGACTATGGCCCCTAGCTGCCCTTCAGGTCTGGAACTGAACCCACACTTACAGCTTCCAGCCAAACAAAAGACAGGCATGGAGTTGAACATTTACCTGAGGTAGATACACTCCTTGGAGAAAACAATTATGGGAGAAAAAGGGCTGTGTATGCACAGGGAGATAGCTCAGGGGCCAGGAGTGCATGGAGGGATAGACACAGGGAAGAGGTGACTGTCAGGAGGAAGTGGGAGGGGAGCTGTTGCATTGTGGTGAATTGTGGTCAACGCCATGAGACAAAGTATGTGAACTGCTGTATGGAAAATAAATTTGCTCTGAAATTTTCACCCAAATCACAATTAAAAAAAAAAAATTTGTTGACTGGCTGATAGAAGAAATAAATGGATGTGTATGAAAGAAAGATAAAATAATTGAAAAAAATAATAATTTGCATTATAATGAAAGAAAATTTGGTACTTTTCCAGAAAGCTTTCTGAATATTATTATATTTTATAATTTAAAAGTAAAATTATGTTAAAAGGCCAATGTTTTGTTTTATACACACACACACACACACACATACACATACCACAATAAAGTAAAATTGAAGAATATTTAAAGCATTTAAGTAACATAATAAATATTTAGGACAGAGACTCCTATTACTTTCAGTTTAACCATGTAAGATTTTTTAGGGAAAATAGTATTCTAAAAAAATAAAGGAATAGAGCAGCCAGAAGCTCACCAGGGTCTGGGATGGTTGTCTCCTCTGTCCCATCACTGGGTTGACAATCACTTGTCTCAAGGTTGTTGCTCTCTCTTGTGCTTTCGGCTTTGGAGGACCTGTGTTTTGAGCCCCTGAAGAATTTGTTGACAAATGAAGTCTGGGGTTTAGTCTCCTTCCCTGAGGAATTTTTGTTCTTTGTTTGACTCATGGTCGAGCTGAAGAGGTCTTTCTTAGTAAGATATTTTCCTTTTTCTCCAGTATTTCTGAGAAGAAAATAAGACTCTGTCAAGCCTGTGTGAGACCAAAACATCCTTCCCTAGAGTTCTTTATTTTTACTTTTCTTTCTGTTTTTTATCCCTGTTAATGTTTAACATACTATAAGAATGATGTAATGGTTCCTGGAACCAACAGATGGTAAGAGATGCAAATCCAAAGTAAATTTGAGTTTTTAACTTTGCTCTACTTTATTGTGTGAGATTAAGATCATTAAACAGCACTTTGGCAAGGGTATCAATTGTGTCAATACATTTTAAATTTCAACAGTCAATTGCAGTTATTGTCTAACAGACTTTAGTACATACAGGAGGATTTAGATGACACTAAGCTGGGTGGTGCAAATGGTTAACACACTCAGTTGCTAACCTAAAGTTTGGAGCTTTGAGATCACCCAGAGGAACCTTGAAAGAAAAGTATGCCAATCTACTTGCAAAACGTCAGCCACTGAAAACCCTATAGTGCACTGCTCTGCCACACATGGGGTCACCTGAGTCAGAATGGACCCCATGACTGGTGGTAGTGTGGAAGCTGGACTGGCCTTATACCAATCTGTCACCAGGAGGAGTTGGCTTCTAGTGATCCCAACCTCCTTGACATACCTTTTTTTTTCCCCTCTCTCTTTCTCACACTTTGATTACTCCAGCTCTGCAATATCACTCCATTAAAAACATGTTCACAGTAAAGAATTCAGTCATTCCATAAACATTTTTTCATAAGCTCTGGTAGTGTAGTGCCTAAGGCACTTGACTGCTAATCAGAAGGCTGGCAGTTCAAACCCACCAGCCACTCCTCGGAAGGAAGGTTGGGCAATCTACTTCTGTAGTGATACTGCCT